TGTATGTATGTATGTATGTATGTATGTATGTATGTATGTATGTATGTATGTATGTATAATTTTATGTTAAATGGAGGCAGATATAAGATTTTTTCTTCTTCTGCTACCTTTCATTCTATGAGATGTTTCTTTTTTGTTGTACTGAAATTTTTGTTTTTAATCGAAAAGAATAAACTATTAAACTAAAGATTTCAGTCAAAAATTTAAAATATCATTTTGCACAATCTCCAGCTGAATACAACACACACCTGGATCCCAGGTCCACATCTGTGGGTTTGTCCAGCACACTGCTGAGGTTGTGTTCTGCCAGCGTCTCCTCGGGCACCTCCTCCAGCTCCTCCTCCCTCTGAAGGGACAGACGGTAGTTCTCCAGCTCAATGCGCTCCGGAGTTCCACGCAGACGTTTGGCCAAACTGGGCTCCTGCAGGCCGTTGACTTCCAGGGCTGGGGTCCAGCGCGGAACGTGGGCCCCCGGTGATGTGACGGCACATGGGTGGGCAGAGAGGAAAGAGGGCACAAACATGTGGCTGAGAATCGACTGAGTGCAGGAGTAAAAACAGGAGAAGCACAGAGTGAATGTTTTAGCTTCTGTCTGTCTCTGTTATGGAAATAAACTGGATTAAACTGAAGTAAATCTGCTGTGGTATAATTCCTGATAAAGTCCATTCCCACTTATTCAACTTATCCCAAAACAAGGACAAACTGACAAGGACACACCAATTTAAGGTCGGCTATTGAATTTATTGAATTAGATTATAATCCTACAGCAAACACTAAACACACACACAGGTAAATCTAACACACTAAAATAATCCTAAGAATCTTATACACAAGGCTTGTGCCTTGCCTTAATCCCATCCTGAGAAGCAAACCTTAAAACTGCATTTTATAGACATTTACTGGTTGTTTTTAACTAAAAAAAATAAATGCATTATTCCTTTTTGCATGTCACCTTTAATTTAAGTTGGTATTAAATATTCAGAGAATTCCAATTAGAAAAAGCTGATTGACAAAGTTATAATCTGAGGACGGAGGTGGGACGAGGAATTTGAGATTTGATATTGTTTTGTGTTTTCAGGAGTTATGTGCGAGTTAAAGAGTAAAAATAATGTCAACCTGGAAACTAAACAAATCGAGTGAAGCATAGCCTAACAACGATTTGCTAATGTTGCCTTTCTAATATAATAATCTGTAATATAATCCTGCTGTACTGCACAATCTCTTGCACAGACGTGCAGAATAATTAATTCTACAAACTATATCATTTAATCATTGACAGACTCTGCATTAAGTTCAGTTTTTCCTTATATGTGGAATTAGTGTTCTAGCCTTTAAGTAAAAACATAATGTGTATTTATCTTCCTTTTTTTCTTGTCACTAAGAATTTATGCATCTTTATTAAAGTAATGAAGAACTAATATTTGTCGAAGAATTGCAAATGAGATATGTTGGTGTTAAATATAATGAAATGTGTTAAAACATGCAAGAATTGAAACAAAACATTATCATAATGACTTCCTATATTTAAAACCTTTACTTTATAGGTACAATGTAGATTAGTCTCACCTTTGAAATAAGATAAAGTCAAATAGAATAATAGTTCTTATACTGTAAAAATATTTAAATATATGCTTTCAATCTGACTACACAGTCTAATAATAAATCTTATGTTTTACTTAATATTTAAATAATACATGTTCTGCTAATCTAACCCCTTTAAGGATTAAATATATAAAGCAAACACACGTGAGCAGCAGTTAGTTTGTGGTGAAAGGGACAGAGAGATAAAAAAAAACACTTCAGAGCCAATCACAGGCACCATTTCAAGCACTAGTAAAGCTCTCAGTTTTAAGATGCTCTAATAGGAGGAGGGAAAGGTAAAGCTCACAAAAGCGCTGATACAGGCACTTCAATGCTCTATGGTGGCTTCGGTAAGAGGAAAACTTTAGGTGCAAAACAGCTTACAGAGAAGAAAACAGGTCACACAGCAGGCAATAAAATAAGAACATCACACAGGAAGAGGAAACAAAGGGCAATCACAGATCAAAAATAAAAGGTTACAGGAAGAAAAGAATAAATCTTAGCTTGGTTTTAAAATGAAACAGGCATGGAAATGCTGCATCTATAAAGTTACAGTTGGGTACAACTAAGTGAATTCCTTATATTATAGTAAATTTGAATATTTAGGTGTATTGCCTCATCATGTTCTAAAAGCCAACACAGAGTGCTGACAGAGTCGAGCAGAAAAGAACCCGATGAGCTCTCGTTATTTCTAAGCTGAGAAAAATAACATAAACAAGATTCAAGATGTGACTTTCCTTTTTCTAAAATAAAGCCAGATTACAAATCATAAACTGGAGGAAACATGAAGGACAAATCTTCACGAAATAAACGGATCAATGAGAAATAAGCTCACAAAACTTATGGCAACACCTCAGATCAGCGAGTCCGGATTAGTCAGATTTACAGGATCACATTTAAACCAGCAAAGAGCAAATCAAAACTAAAAGGAAGAAAGGATCATGCTAGAGGAGGTTCAGGAGGACGTTGACAGTGAAACAGCACAGGAGGTAGATGCAGTATGCATAAAGGAAGGGAGAATCTAAGTGGTTGTGCGCCATCTGGTGGCAAGTCCAGGACAGYGTGCGGCGGAGGGTGCGAAGCGGGACTCCCGCCTTCACGGCCAGACGGCAGGGCACGGCCACGGCATCTACAAGGGAAAATCTGGTACCTGAGGGTTGGAGCTCAGCTGAGGGAGCTGCAGCTGCTGCCGCCGCCCTTCCGGGGGCATCGACAGTCACCGTGGGAGTTTGGGGCGTCTGGCTGTCCTGCAAAGGCAGAGATCGAAACTGCATCAGCCACAGGCTAATTTCAGGAAGATGGATACGTTATGACAAACACTGATGGAGATTTTAGACAAAAATGTATCTAGGTAATAACAAAAACAAACAATAAACAGTTACCTTAGCTGAGACTGGAGCCGGGGAGGGAGCAGGCCGCTTTCTCTGAGCGTAACCAGACAGCCGGTAACAGTAGTGAGGTTTGCAGTAAAATTTTCCTACAGGATTTAAAAAATAAAAAAACAACTAATTAATCATAATAAGAAACAAACATGCAAATGAAATAGAAATCACAAAATAAAAAAAATATATCTGCAAATTCATCCTATTTCACCCAAAATCCCTGCTCTGTAAAGGAGGACTATGAACTGTATAAAACAGAGAATTCCTTTGTGACTAAAGCACAGAACGATAGAAAACCTRCCAGTGGGCACAAAGAAAAACAGGCTGATAAAAATAAAACTCAGTGCTTTCACTTTATACAGGTGCTTTGGATCAGAATCAAATGGACTGGGAGGTTTGGGGTAAAGTGTGTGGTCCTCCACTGGAGGGCACCAGAGTTTGTCTTATTCAACTCTTTGGTGGCTTAAAACAGGGGTTCCTAAGACCCCCCACTGTGGACTGAGAAATTAAATTAAATTGAAAGTTAGCCACTAATAGAACATGTTTATGCTGCAGCTGTTATAAAATATAAAAAAAACAATCGAAAAGTAAAATAATAAAAATTATTTTAGGCTGTTTGAAGGTCATCTTAAGTGGTTCAATAGAAGGCAACTGGATTTTTTTTATTCTTGAAAATGTTTCACCTGTCACACAAAAGGCTTCTATAGTTCAGAACTGAAAAGGTGAAACATTCAGTTTCCTTAGGGCTGTCATGTTCTAAATGGTTGAGAATCTACACCAACTATTTAAAAGATATATCTCATTGAGCTGTGACTGACAGAGACCAGTTGCCGAGACCCTCATGAATGCAGTTTATCAACAAGTTGCAACAACAGCTGCAGCCCAGTGAGATACTGGCTTAAACTGCCATTGTATACTTTTTTTTAAATCTTTATTCATTTCATTAAAACAAAACAAATAATTTTATATATTATAC